ATGCTATAATTCTTCATGCAGACACCAAATTTCATATGTGAGGATTTGAATCAATATTTAAAGCAAGAACATAAAAAAGGGCCTCATTTTAGTAGCTGAAGGGTGCATTCCCTCCGCACAAGACAACATATTTCAACTAAATGCTGCCCCTCACCACAGGAGCTAAAGGGAAAAGTGAAAAGAATATCCCTCAAAGTGCCACGCTTTCAGATTTCATTTTCTTTCTGCAGTTTCAGTGAGCTCACACAGTTCCTCTTTTGCTTCTCCAAGAGCTTTTGCTTCTCCATCAGTAAAGGGATAGAAACATTAATAAAATGGTGATGATCAGTCTGAACTTACCTTCTCTGGCTTCATAAACATCAACATGGAAACCTCGTCTAGCAAAGAAACAGGTATTTAATGCACCCACCTACAAGAGAGGGATAGGAATGGTGGATGAAGCATTTCACTAGTACCTGTGTAACAGATCACTACTGAAATGTATCAAGGGGAAGCAGCGGTCAGGGGATGCAGCTCAGCATATACAGGAAGACCCTTTGATCAACAACCTTAGAGGACTCCTTCCTGGAGGAAGTCCTCTGGCAACGCTGATGTGCCTACAAAGCCTCCAAGACAGAAGTCATCCATCAAAACTCATTGTACAAAGTCATACCAAATTCAGGGCTTGTTTACACACAGTGATGCAGCAGGGCTAACCCCTTCAGCCAGAGGCAACAGAATCTGGGGAGGGCAAGCTCCCTGCTCCCTTCCAGACTATGTGTAACTTCCTTGAATGCAGGGTGCTGCAGCATTCCCTTGGGAACACAGCAGCCCTGTGCAAAAGGGCATCACACACACATCCTGCTTGTTATTTAAATGGATGGATGTCTTTTTCTTGTTTAATTTCCATCATTAATCACTGTCAGAACTACAGACTTTAACGTCATCACTCTTTTCCAGCAGCATGGGGACCAAGAGTGGCCAAATTTTAATTGGCCACTTTTAATGGCCAAAAAGTCAAAAGAGAGGTTTAGGTGCTGCAATGCTCCATGTTGTCCTTTAGAATCAGACCACTCTGCAAGTAGCAACGGAGAAAAACCATTCCCAAACAATGGCAGAGGAAGGCATTTCCTCTCAGCCTAGCATTTATCAAGTCTTAGTCCTCACAAAGTATTTCACGTTAGTGACTTGGTTAAAGCCAGAAACAGCTGAGGGGCAGGAGGATCTGGCAGCCCAAATGCGGACTGTTATTTAGTGTTCCTGGGTACCACTGCTCCACCTCCCAAGCCCCCTCCTCTGAGAAAAGGACTCTTGGTGGCAGGATTTATTTGCACACACTGTTCAAGGCAAGTGCCCGCCACAGACACGCATTGCGTCTCTGGGATACCACAGCAGCAAAGCTTTCCCTTGAGGGAAAGAGCCGTTCTCCTCCTACAAAGTCCTAGATGCTCAAACAAAACTCGCTGCCTCCCACAGCGGGAACTCAACCAACTCCTCCATAGCACCCCGTCATCTGAAGGCGGAATGATTTTAAGAAAAACATTCACCCCACCTCCAAGCAATGACTTTACAGATCCATCTCCCCGCCAAACACAATCACACAGCAGCCAAATGGCATTTCCTACCAGACCACCACCGACAATGGCGACTCTTTTCCCCCATGGGTCACTGGGCTCCATCGCTGCGGCAGCCCCTGGGTCACAGGTCTCACTGCTGTGTCCCTGCTCCCTGTCCTGCTGCACTGCCCTTGCCAGTGGGGGGGAGAAGGGGAAGGATGTGGGTGGCTGAGTCATGCCTGAGTTCTTCTCGCCTGGTTCATATTAAAGTTTAACTCCCAGACCAGAGACTGTCGGTGAGTCAGCCAGGCTGTGTGGCCAGCCACATTGAGCCTCAGGTGAAGAGATGTGAATGTGGCATTATTCAGCCAGGCCGTATTAAAAGGCCTCTTTTGAAAATTGCAAATCAGTTCTGCAGCCTTCAAGTATGTCTTAATGAAATGTGCACAGAGTAGGAGAACTTGCATCCACCAGGCTTTTGATGGTGCTTCACTGGGTTGCAACTGCCGAGGCATGGTGGGATGACGTGGAGTCACTCCTGGAGCCTCGTGGGCACTCTCCTGAGGGTGGGATGTGAACCACGCTGCTGGCCCAGGGGCCTGATCCCATCTGTGAGAACATCTTTCTCCCAAGGAAGTTGCATGTGGCTTGAGCATTTTGGGGTGTGATGCTGAGTAGAGGGTCCATGTCTAACATGCAGAAGCTTGCCAGGACTTGGATGAGGCTGTGAGGAGCCATCTGGGCATGTACCGTTTCACATGCCTGTCCCTGGGAGGACACGCTCTGCTGAGCCAGCGCTGCACACAGTAAGCTTTTAAAAGGGAGGAACCAATCACAGCCTACACACAATAATTAAACAGCAGGCAGTGAAAATGCATACATTAACATACACTAACTACCATTTATTGCTAGTCCTGCAATACACAGGCCAAAACATCAGATTTGTCCCAAAGGAGGAAGGCCAAACCCCTGCACAAGTAGAGCATCATCCTCCACTGCATGTCCTGGTTCCTGGTGCAGCAAGGGCCTGCTGCTGCTGAGGGGACAGGGACTGAGTGTCACACCACAGTCCCAACCTGTGGTACCATGCAAAGAGAGGACACACGGGCCAGGGTCAACAGGACCCACAAGCAGCCCCAGGCTCAAGCTTAAACGGGACTGCTGGCCTTGGGGAGAGACGGGTGCAGGTGGGGCTGGTTGGGGTTGTTAAAGGCTGTTAGTGCCCATGGGCCCTGGCACTGCATCCAAATGAAGTACCACTGAAGACTCTCTTGTTAGGTTTCTCTCATCTACATGGCAGTGACTTGACCCACGCTATCTGATTGACTCACACACACACTGAGAGCAAAGAAAACAGAGCAGAGAGGGCAAAGAGCAAGGTAAGTTTTACACAGTAAATAAATTATTCATTAATTGTTTTCAAAGAACAGACAGCACACAATTAGCTTCCAGCAGTGACAGTTATTATTTAGAAATATCACCCACAGCATCATCTGCATGCTTGTCTGATAGGCTTTACAGTTTACTCCACCACCGTTGCTTACCAATTTGATAGCAGCACTTTAAGGTACACCAATTAATTCACAGACTCCTGTGGATAACACAGCATACAGTTGTGTAACTAAAGCTGGTCCTGTAACACTGCTTTCTTGCACAAGCAGCCTCAGCCATGGTACATGTACCTGCTCCAGGAGCAGGAGGCACGGACACACAGGTAAGCATCCGACCTGTCAGTGAGCAGTGCTGTGTGGTACAGTAAATGGGCCACAGACCAAAAGTTTTAAGATGATACACATCAGTTTCTCGCTGCCTAACCTATCTCCTTAGTTACTGAAAAACCACACTATATTTTGAGAACTTAGTTCTTGGCAAACCAGACTAAAATTTGCCTATCAGAGGCTATCTATGCCCAGTGCAATATCTTTTCTTCTGGGTAACCATTCCAAACAAAATATAAGTCCCTGGGTTATCTTCACTCACAAACTGCACCAGGCAAAACCAACATAAAGATGTTCTCCACTTTAAAGACAGGAGAAAGTGGAAGTCACTGAGAAAGTGCTACTAATTCGTTGTTTATCTTTCTGTATTAAACACAACCAGGCTTCTGAGAGCATGAAAAAGTATCGCTTGATTAAAACTGAGTGAAGCTTCTGAGGAGTCCTAAATGAAAACAAAAGGATAGCATGGACTTGGTTTAAAGCCTGCCCTCTGAAAATCCGTGGGAAAAGCTAAGAAGGTAAAAGTGTTGCTGAAGAAAAAGACATGCCAATATCCAAGGAAAAACCTCAGGATTTTTTTTTTTTTTAAATCAAGTCTTAAACCCTGATTGTATGAGGGAAAGGATGAGAAATAATGAAGCAAATATACACAATTCCAGGATGCTTAAATCACCTTCTAGTAGCTCTTCGACAAAAAAACCTTGGGTAGCTGAGAGTCAGAGCCCTCCTGGGGCAGAAAACATGGACTGTGGTTAGCTGGAGGCAGGCATTGCACTTAAACATTCAGACCCAATGACTGCAGGAGCACATTTCTTTCTGTTCTCCACTGAGAATTATTTATTCAAAGAGTGCTTAAAGACAGCTTACACAGGTAGGGTAGAGTGATGGTATTCAAGAAAATCCAATGCCAGGATTTTTCTCTGCTATACAGGTCACCTGTATTTGGGTCACTCCTGCTCCTCTTTAGTTCTTTAGGCCAAGTATATCTTTGAGGGAGTAAAACCAAAAATGCTGAGGGTGGAACACTTCAAGCTGATAAGGTTTGGCAACTAAACCCTCATTCAGGCATCCTGGGTTGGCTTGCATCCTCCTAAAGATAGCAGCATGCACCTTTCCAAAGGGCATTTCCTCAGTTTCCACATGAAGGGGACTCTCAGCCTTGGAGCTGGGTCATACTCATTTGCAAGGGCTCAAATAACAATGGTGTTAAGATTATTTCATGCCCTGGGACTGCTGTGGGCTGCCAGGCCTGCAAGACAGTTTGGGATGAATTTTCTTAATTCTTTGAAGAGACAGAAAAAAAAATGGCAATTACTTGTGGCTGGTCATCTTGGAAGATGAGAGGAAACAACTGAACTAGCAGAAATGGCTGAGAAAGCTACAGGAGCATGGTACACTTGTTCTGAACATCTACAGTCTTTCTCCCACTTCTTGTACTGAAAACATGCAGTCTTACGATATTAGACCGTCAATCAGAGAGATTATTTAGGAACTGTTCAAATACAGGTTGACCTCAGCAATTATGATCCACTTGTAGAGGAGCACATACTGTCAGTATGTGGGCCACCTGCAACAAGAAAAATGGCTTTGTTGTGTTTGGTAACACAACATGTTGTGTTTGGTAGCCAACAGTGCATGCTTGCTGCAGCTGCAAAAGGACAGTGTAGATGTGTCATTCTCTTGATTCACGGTGGAAGGTAACTGAAGAAGAAGATGAAGACGACAACTTAAAAGCCATGACAAGATCTTTGCTGATTTCTGCAAAATGTTAATTGCACCAATTCTGGAAGGAGCCAAGAAATCTTTACTGGTTCAGATTACAAACCCCTGTAAAAGTAAAAGGGTTAGAAATGTTTATCCCTTATAATCCCATTATGTAAATAATCTGTTCAGGAACTCAAATACCAAGCTAAAAAGGGCCATAGGGATACCCCTGCCAGCAAGCCACCCATGCCTGAGGATGCAGCTGCCTCTGTCTTGTCCTTCTGTTCACCAAGGCTTTGAAAGAGCCATAACACAGAAATAAAAGGTGTATTGTCACTGAAACAACAGTGACTGCCCATGCAAAGTCCCCAACCATCCCACCACACTCTAGCGATGTGCATTCCTTTCTAGCACCATTGCTTCCATGCCTGCGTTCTTGCTATGCCCTCTTGACGTACTCAGCAAGACCACTGCTCTCTCTCAGCTCAGATCCTTGCCCAAGGCCCCTCCTGCCACTTGCATTCACCTGAGTAGGCTAGTTTGAACACTAGTCCTGGCTGAGATCATCTCACACCCAGAAAGCTGACCAGGACAAGCTCAGAGACAGCAGGGAAGGCACAGGCAAGTGAGCCCCTGGAGGAGTCAGCTGCTGAGCTCTGCGAAGGGCTCAAGGGCTCTTACAGACCTGGGGGCAGCCTGGGGTCAAGTCCATCCATTTCTGCACTTGAAACAACATCCCAGCTGCAAGCACAGGCTCATCGCAGAGGTTCAGCTTTAATTCTGAGTATTCCACTCTCTTTGTACCATTTTTCTTAGCAAGTGGTGGTGGTTTTTTTTTTTCCAGGAATTTCTGATTAACAAATGTCTCAGCAGTGTCTTAAGAATATAAATCCTACTGGGAACCTTAGGCTAAATGTCAAATGTCCAGCCCTTATTTATTGGGTGTCTGCTGGGTTCACAGGGAGACCCAAAACCCAGGGTAACAGCCACTGCAGAGTGGAGCCATGTAGCATTGCTGGGTGGTGGCTCTGTTGTGATAGGGACACAGCTTGGTATCATCTGTAGACCTTGTCTGAATTTCATTTATTCCACAGTAAGCAAGTGTTAATTACTCAAATTATAAGATTGAGTGTATCAAATCATCATTTAACCCACCTAAATCCCATTGTTATGTTAAAGACAATATGGCCTTAGTGAAGAGCCCAGACAGAACTGGCCTTAGTAAAGAACCACAAAGGCATGGGATCACCTGTTCTACTGTGCTACCCAACCCATGCATGCAGGAAGGGCTACAAGTTTACACCATGGCTGCCTGTTTACTTACAGAGGCTGGACAGGGAGCGTGCTGCCGGTCCAGTGATGCACCATGGATGTGGCCGGGAAGCCCCCATGGGGCACTGGGAGTACCCCTGTGGGAGGGTAGTGGTGGTGGTGGTGCACCGCAGATGGCCTGGGCCTGTTTGCTTTCAGAGCCAGGGGAGCAGCAACCTGCAGGTCCTTGTTGGAGAGAGACAAAGGGTGATTTGTGAAACCTGTGCCCCCACAGGAAGGGTGCCTGGCTGAGAGGCTGGGTTCCCACGTGGCCACTGCTTGGTAAAGGAAGTCCTTCAGCATGCATTTGGAAATGGGTTTTGCAGGCTCAAACATAGAAGGTCCAGCAAATACTTGGTGATATCAGATTTCACCTGATATTCAGCGGCATTCAGACCCCACTCCCCCCCAGTTTATTCCACCAGTCTACATCAGGGAAACACGGGGTGACAGGATGGCCTGGGGAGGAAGGTGGGGACAGGGGGAACACATGCTCTTGGCTCTGCCATCTTCCCTTAGACACAGAGTCCTCCACAGAAAGCTGCAGATGAGTCGGGTCCAGCACCACCATATGCCCCAGACATCTCCCCCCCAGCAAGGGGGAAGGAGTATTGAAAACCAGAAACTGCAAAGTTTAAGGAAAATAGAAAAGGACTTTCATCTGAGGCAGCACTCAGTGCAGCTCCGACACGAGGAAGCTTTGGCACTGCCTGCCATTGCCACAGCAAATCTGCCCTGGGACCATGGCTGATGGAGCCAGTGAGCCCCTCTGCACCACAGGTGTCCTCCTGGGATGTCAGCGCCCTGAAATATGAGAGCTAGCAGCTGCTGCTGGGGGCTTCTGTTCAGGGAAGACATTTGGTCCCAACAGGTGCAAAACCCCATCTGTTCCACCCAGGGCATGGGACAGGTGATGGAGGAGGATAGCATTTCCTACCACTCCTCTAAACCTGGGGCTTGGGGCCTTTTAAGCTGTCTGTTTCTTCTGCAAATAGCATGTAGGAAAGGTGTGAGTGAGCTGGGCAAGGACTGCAGAAGTGTGGGTGTTACTTTCTCAGCACTCGACAACCTTAACATCTGAGAAAAAGAAAACAAATCTTTCTTACAGCACTGGGAAAAGACATAGCCTGAAAATGGAAGGGTAGGAAAAGTACTGGGGGAGTTTTTGCAACACTAGGACATCCCCTCCTCCCCAGAGATCAAATGTCCTTGCTTCTTAGGTAATAAGTAAGCTACAGAGTAGAGATTAGAGATGCATTTTTTCAAAGCACTTTGGGATGCTAAGGAACTATATCACCTGGCTAAAAATAGCTTAGGAATTGAGCATCTAAGGATACATTCAAAATTACTTACCTCTTGTCAGGCACTGGACACATTTTGGAAAAAGCCCTATAGGGATCTACACACCAAAATATCTTTAAGATCTGTCCTTTCAGAGCTCAGTAGCCATTGATTTTTAGTCAGACAGGAACTAGAGCAGTGGGCCTCCAAGTACAGTCACAAAATTTGTTCTTCAGCCCCAGCACATTTCAAACTGCCAGGTCAAATTTTACCAGTTACAGGATTTGTAACACAAATATTGCCCTGCTGTTTGCAGCAAGTGGACCTGCAGCAGCAGATGCCCCCTGTAGAGGTCTTCCATGCATAGTCTGTTTGTGATTCAACTGTACAAAAGGCCAGATGATTTTCAGAGCTACACTGAATCTAGTTTGTACTTGTGGAGGAGACAATTCTTCCATTGGGTCCTGTCAGTGCTCATAATGGTAAAGAGGCAGGCTGTGCTCTGCTCAGTAACACTTCTCTGGTGCAGGGAGTTTGAAGATGCTGTTAAACATCCCTGACTTTCTGCATATTTTGTCCAAGCCATGCACCCTACCCAGGAGATCAATCATTGCCTCGTGTGAGCAAGGGTGCCCTTCCCACTCCAGTGTTGTTACCTGCTGTGCATGCTGAAGTGGGAGGAGAGCTGCCTCCAGCAGGCTGTGCAAACGCCATCGGTGGCAAAGCCTTCAGCATCATGTTCTGCATGATGATCTGGTGCATCTGAGCATTCTGCATCAGCATCATCTCTACCATATCTTGGAAGAGGTCACCCCAAGGAAGAAAGTAAGAGTCATAAGCAACTGACAAGCAGCAGAGACATCTCAGCAAGAAGTGTCCTTCAGCACACAGCCCTGGTCACTGGAACCAAGACAAAGCAGCTGAAAGGGACACATGAAGAATATTAGCATTATTTGCCCAGGCAGTGCAAAATTAATGTCTATGCATAAAATATTCATACCAGGTTTCCTGTTTTTCCTCTCTTCTGAAAAAAAGCTGCTGTTGAGCATCTTCTGTCTGTTAGTTTCCCTACAAGTCCACCCCTCTGGCTGTGCTGGAGAAGGGCTGAGCACTAGAGCTCTCTTGCTTCCTCCAGCATGGACCTGCTCCTTACAGTGCCCTCCATTGCTTTGGCTCAAGATCATTGCTTTTCATGTGAGAGGTTTCCTCAACTTTATGTGATATTGCAGTGCCACCTTCAGAGTCTATTGCATGTGCATCAAATCTGCTTACCAAGATCACTGGGTCCTAATCACAAAGGACCTGTGCAGTGGAGCTAATTTTGTTGGGGGAGGAAGGAAGGAGGGAGAGAGGAAAAAAAAAAAAAAAGAAGAAAAAAGATATCAAGGCAACTCTCTTTTTTTTTTTTTTTAACTGGTCATACCAAAACTAATTTACATGCATCAGCTTCAGAAAAGTCATGCATGAATTGGGACTAGTTTGTTTATGAAAATAAACTCTGATTCAAAAATCCAGGCACTTAGATGAAAAAGAAGGAAGAGAAAATTTTGAGAAAAATTGCAATTTCATGACAGAGGATTTCTCTGTGGGATGAAGAAAACTTTGGCTGAAGGTTGAGCCAGGGAAGTCATCCCAGGGATTTGTTCATGTATTATTTCACAATAGCATCCACCTATGTTTAGAAACAAACTTTTTTTATTGCCACTGCACTATATTTGGAACAGCACTTTCAGCTGTTCTGTCTTTTTTCCAAACTCGGGGCATAATAAAAGCCTGTATTGTTCTGAGGAGTTTGAACAGCAGGTTAGCAGGGAACAAAGGCATAAAACCAGATTTTAGAAGCCTGTTTGTTAATTTTGGAATCATCTGTGTACATGAGTTTAACTTCATTAATATTATTCAGTGCCTTGTGTTGAGTTGATTTGCTTTCCCAAATTTGCCTGGCAGCTTACTCTGGCTTTGCTGAGTTTGAAGTCCCTTTTTCTTTAGTTTTAGTAATAAGAATTTGTCTGAAAGCTTCTCAGAAATGGTACCTAGTCCACTTTTGAAGTGCAATTCCCACAGCTCCAGCAGCATCCCAGTCACGAAACAACACATCACTAACTAGTTTAGATGCTGTCCCGTGCCCCCTTCTACTTGCCATGGCAGCCTGCCTGACCTCTCTGGGCCTGGTGATAGGAGCTGGCTGCTGGATGGAGGGTACGTTACCTTCTTTAATGCTTCCTGAGTAGGGGGCTGCAAAAGGCTGGGCAGGAGGGATCTGTGTGATCAGGGGGGGTGGCTGAGGTAATTGCTGGATGATGGTGGCAGACTGAGGCGGCATCTGAAAAAGAAAGGAAAATTGGGAAGTCAGGGTTGGTTTTGGCCAGCTCCCTCCTCTTTGAGAGGGCAGAGCAGTGGGTATCATCTGCCTGGACTTCAGTGAGTCTTTGGACATGGTCTCCCCTGAGATCCTCATGGAGAAGCTGTTGAAGTTGTGGGCTGTATGAGCAGACAGTGATGTGTGTTGGAAACTGGCTGAATGGCTGGGCCAGAGCATGGGCACTTCTCCCATTCCTCTTGCTACCATGTTCCTATGGTAAACAATTCACACTGTTAATTTTGTGCCTCATTTGTAAGATGATTTCCCTTAGATTTTGCATAGGGCAGTAAGTCCCATACAACAGCAAGAGGCATATCATCCCTTTCAGTGGGATGAGTGTTTCCATACAGTCCCCAAGTCCCTCCACCTGTGGTTGTTGTCTCAGACCGGCATAGCACTAGCTGTGTTTCCAAGGGGAGAGGATCCTTACCATCTGCTGGATAATCCTTGGTGGCTCTGCTCGGGGAGCTGGAAAAGGTATCTGGTAGACATGAGGGAGGCCAGCTCTGTGGTTATGACACTGCCCTTCAGCTGGTGCACAGGGCTGTGAAAGCTCTTCCAGAAGGTGCTGCTCCTGCAAAATCAAGTATGTTCTTAAAGAAAATCTGGTGACAGGAAGGCAGACAGTATTATTATGCTTTGGAATAAATGGGATTAGCCCCTGGGAGGCTGCAGCAGGGCGCAGCCTCACTGCTGCAGAAACACCCAGCACTGCCACGTCTGACAGGCAGACCACAAGCGGCCATGGCATGAAGGGAAGCACTCAACCGGTGCTCGCACAAGTATAAAGAAAGTTTTTCTTCCCACATATCCCAAAGCCACACAGTTTTCAGTGCAAGCAAAAAAGAATGTAAAAAAAAAAAGTGAAGAACAAACTGCCAGAAGTTTGGGAAAATCTTTCATTAATGGTTGGGACCCTCCACAAACTAGGAATAAATAATAGTTAGTAATGTCCCTGTTTTGGTGGCATTAAAATTACCTTATTTGCATTTTGGCAGTACCCCAGAGAATTTATAATAAAGCAGTTCAGGACAAACAGAATCAACCCACCAACTAACTGAAGTGGGTGCAAGCTTCATTAGCTGTAGTGGGGTGGACATTGCTCTCTGGCCCCTCTCCCTTATTAGCTGGCCCAGCCTCTATACTCTAAACCAGCAGAAGAATGAATATGGCCCAGCGTAAGAACTCAAGGACAGGAAAAAAATGAATCCACATAGGCAGTAGATGTGCAGATAACTTGGCCCTTTCTGTTGCTTCTGTCCACAGAGAGGGCTCTTACCCTAAGCTCCTGCAGGAGATCTTTCCTTCGCCTTAGGGCACTTTGGAGCATATCCTCACGTCTGTTCCCTGAAGGAAGAAAATCCCCTTATCTTCTCAAAGGATCACAAAGATAGAGCTATTATAGCACCTACATTATGAGATTAATGCTGGAAAACGTGTTATAAGATAGCTTGACTTCTTCCACAAAAGGCTTTAGGCTACTTTTCTTGTCAAATCCACAAATGGATAATGACTTTGTGCCACATACACAGCTGTTCAGCAGCTCTACAAAGGCAATGCACCTTCTCTGAAAATAAACTTTTTAGATTGCTCTGAAAGTCCCCTTTTAACCTCCTGGCTTAGAAACTCATTTCAGCCTTACATTTTCTACCTATACTCTGTATGCAGAGGACGATGGTGCAAATTGTAAAGAAAGTTTTTGTGATGTATCAAAACAAACTCAGCTTTGAAAATCAACTTTTCTGTTTCCTTTTTGTTCTGAATCAACTTTCTTTTCAGTTCTTCCCACATACAGCTGACTTTGAACTCGCTTGAAATGAAAATGAGAAAGAACATTTTCAGATACTTTGGAGGCATGGCTAACATCTGCTCTGAAAAGCATAACTTTGTATTTTGAAACTGTAAGTTGTTACAGGGATTTTTAATTTTTGGCTACAGCATTGAGTTTCCAACTATTTGTGCATCAGCTCAATGGATATGAGCCCAGAGTACAATCCAGAAACATTACTGATCTTCTGCTGGTTGTCTTTAATCCATAGACAATATAGTTATCAACACTGCATGTGCCATGCAAAGAAATTAATGCATTGCACATAGCATGCACAGCTTCCATGGGAGTATTGTTGAAGGGAACACGCCACTTATATGTGAAACATCACAGCAGTCTTTGAAAGGGTTTGATAAAGATACAAGTTATTTTCAACTCCCTTATTTATCAACTTTTAGCTGGTTCACTAGCTTTTATAGCAAACTGTCTAAACTTTGGAAGTTTCATAAGTGTGCTGGAATTCCTGACCTTTCTGCCCAAACCAAAGTCAGAATGTAATTGCACATGCATGGATTCCTGGTAAAATGGTTCCCCAGCTCCTATCAACACAGTTCTCAAGACCAACTCTTTCAGTATTACGATTTGTTTCATAAGCCGAGTCACATTTTTTTACACTGGAAACCATGCTCTGGTCTGCACAAGGCTGCACTGGTCAGCTTCAAAGGTGCAAAGCAGCATTAGTAGTGGAGTATTCCTCCTGCCTGGATCCCTCAGCCATCCTAACAACTCCTTTTCAGGATCATCAAATCCAGGCATCCAGTTGGACTGCAACAGGGGCTCACTCCTAGGTATAGGACTTAGGACAGATCGGATCACCAATAGTTTGCTCCAGCTGAACCAGCATCTGCAGCTGAGAGGCTGCAAAGAACAGCTGGGCAGGAGGTCATTCTTATGTTCATGCTCAGCTAGCATATAATTTCCCTTTATAAAAAAAAACAAGTTGAAGAAATTCAAAATATAAAATTTAGACAGCTATGCAGTATAGCAAGCCGGTTCTCCTTGCATCAAGGCTGCTGAGATTCACCAGCTTGGTTAGGACTGAGACTAGTACACAGACTGACATTACTGCACAAGCTTCACTGGACCTTGTGTTTTTGCTACTCCCAGGGCTGCATATAGATTTAGATCTTCAGGCTGAGCTAGGGCAGCATTGACTTAAGTTCAGTCTCCCTCCTGCTCTCCAGACAATGTCCCTGTCACAGAAGCCAAGACAGAGAAAGTCCTGACTACCCAAATGCCCAACCACGGAGCACACAGAGGCCCCTTCCAGTTTTTAGGGAAGAGATGTGTAACCTCCTGAGGAACTCATGCCTGAGAACATCACTAAGCCCTTTACATATCATGTCCATAATTAGAACAAATGCTTCTCTTTTACTTGCAGTTGGGAGAAGTGACTCCATCTTCTCTAAGTTCTCCTGTTCATTTTCTAGTCTCTGTTGGTAGAACCACAACAATAACTGGTTATGAGTCAGGATCAATGATCACAACAATTTCCAACAATTACAGGCATAGGTTTGGGATGGAGGAAATGAAGGAGAAGTATAGACAAGCAGTGCTTCTTAACTGCTGAAACACAGCTAGTGAAGGATACAAAAAGTATTCATAGAAGTATGAAATGTCTTGCTACAAATCTAGTTATGGTAACAAAACAGTCACGCTTCTAACTGGTCAAGCTATCTCAGACCTGGAAATTGATAGCATGGTAAATCAGGAGTCTTGTATACCATTTATTTTGTAGGGCAAAAAGCTGGATCATATGAAGAACTTGATGCTGGAAGTTTTGCGTATTTGGTGCACTAATAGGCCTAAATGGCCCTGACTACCCCCACCTGAGGCTACCATCCCCACCTGCTGCTCATATGTCCAGGATCCCCTTTAATCTCAGCTCTAGGTCTTCAGTTCATAATTGATACTGGATGAGTACTAGTCTGCAGTTTAACCACAGCCATGCCTGTGACTGGCCATGGATTCATTTAACCCCAATACCCAACCTGCAGACACTTCTCAGATTGGCCTTGCTTGGACCTGCTCCATCACCATAAGCTTGCCTGATAGATCTAGACTTTTGGTTGAACCTGGGCATCTCTGGCTCTGCAATGCTTGCCTTGCTTGGGGGCTGGACAGCCAGGCCCCTACTCTTCTGGCTGTGTTATTGTGCTCAACTCCTTGCTCCTTGGGGAGCAGTTGGCCCTTGTGGCTCCCTGATGCTCAGAAATTGGAGACCTTTTTCTCATGCACAGGCTCTTTTCTTGGTTCTGCATGTCTTCACACTGGTGAAAGCTTTGCCCTCAAATGGCTGCTCATCTAAGAACAAAAGAGTCCACTGTGGAGAAAGTTTAGATGCCACCTCCAGTGTTCCTGTCCCCAGGCAAATTGTTCGTCCTTCCAGAAAACTCCAAGCGGCTTCTGGAGGACACTGAAGCAGAAGATCCACACTACGTGTATGTCAGGTGTGCTGAGGGTGGAGTAACAGGGCTGAGTCAAGAACCTTGGGTGCATTAGTGTGTGGAGTCAAAACAAAGAGCTACCGGGATTCTGCGCAGCACCTTGTGTGCTTTCAGTGAGGGACTTCCCATGTTTCACTAGGCAACATATCTTACGTAACAGTAAACAAAAAAGAAGATATGAAATTTCCTTAAAACAATCCCCGGTCCTATTTACCCAAAATTTACTCCTAAACCTTTCCTATCACAACTTAAACAGGTTTTGAGATAACTGGTGACATCTCCCATAAAATATCCCATAAGTTCAAAGTCACTTTAACTCTATTTTTCTTTTCTACTGTAGGTCCATGTAAACTTGTACAATGTTATTTAAGGAAGTGATAGTGACTGTAGCACCACTGTACAATGTTAATTAAGGAAGTGATAGTGATTGTAGCACCAGGTCTGTCTCTGCTTGCATGAAGAAAGAGGTTCTCAATTAACTGCAGTACCTCAGTAGAAATATAATTATTTAAAATACAATGTTAATGCTTAAAAGTGCAGGAGCAAAAAGCAGAACAAAGGTGACCACTGCAGAATTACTCTCTTACCTTTTCTAGCAGTTTGAGTTTCAGTCGTGTCAGGTGATCCACCACTGAAGGGTCTGTCATTATAGTCTTAGAAGAGTAGGCAGGCAAAAACAGGTTAAAAAGCTAAACAAAGACAGGTAGGTTTTCAGTAGCCATTTTTTCCCCTTCACAATCTTCATAGAAGAATAATTCCACTAGAAAAAAAAAAAACCAACCAAGATTGTGAAGAATTGAGGCATGAAGATAAAAGTTTCATTTCTCTCCCAAGTGAAAATGAGTATAGATGTTCACCACAATGTCACAGACACAGCTTTTTCTGCCATTTCTCTCAATGCATTTTCATGCTGCAGGTTGTGATAGTCACAGAAGGGTAACTCAGGGTGAATATTAGTCTGTTCTCAATGGTTGCTATCCCTCCCCTAGCAGTGGCACTAAGCCTGGCCCTCTGTGTTGCTAGTGCCTTCTAAATAGCTCAGAGTTTTGTTCCTGGAACCTGGTTGCTAAGTTTGTAGTGTCAATCCAGAATATAAACAACTTAATCTCCAGGTGTAGAAGGTCCAGTTCCTTTTGTAAAACAGATGTCCAGCATATTAGTGGACAAGAACAAAATAAACAAAAGCCAGTGGTTCTTTAACACAAGCCCAGTGCTAGGGGTCAGATTATAATTTTGCTGATCGCAATATTTATCCCACTGTAAGGGGCTCATAAACTTTTGATGTAGCCCTTCATATGAGTTTTCATCACCAGATAGTAATTAAAAACTCAAAAAATTAGGGAGCACAGCTGAAACTCATCTGTGGATGGGTAAAAGAGGCTATGGTATAACACCCTTTTGCTTCCAACCTCCCAAGCAACGTGTAGGGTGTTTCCCCCTTCCAGCAAAGTCCTACCAGCATAAAAAACAAGCAACATTCACCAGTGACATCCATAAAATCAGCACCAAGGCATGAGAAAGAAACTGGGTAATAGCTATTCATTCTCAGTATCATATTTTAAGCCTGATTCTGCTCCTCAGAGAGCAAAGTTACAACCCCTTCCTTACTTGAAGGCCATAGCAAAGCCACAGCTGAGACACTGCCAGCAGCTGGAGCAACTGATAGATACTTGTAGGGAGCTGTGTAGGAACAGCATGGATCACCTTCTCCAGCTGTGACCCACATAGCATGTGGGTGCAATCTGTCCTTAAAAATACACAGGCTGGTAGTTGCTGGAGAGGTTATAGACATGGGGATCCCAAAAATAGCTGTGTTATATCAGAGCTGGGGCTCAGCTTTCTTTGGCAGGGCTCATTTGTGAATGCTACAAGTGACATGGTGGGAGAGAAAACCCTCTCACCTGCCAGCAGTTTTCCTGAGAAGCAGCTCTGTGTACATTTTTGTACTTTAAAGCCCCAATAGATCTTTCTCTTGTTATCTCTAATATCTTTGATTCCTTCATCCTTTGGGCAGCTTTGACAAGGAGTTTCTTAGTTATCTTAAACATAAGCCTAGTTATGCAAGTAAACTGTGTAAGTATAGTTAAGTATTAGGCAAAAAAAGGGATTACATTTAGCCTGGCTTAAATGTAGATTCCTGAAAAGTTTATTGGAAATCTCATTTATTGTGTGAAATTTATATGACTGTTCTCTATGCATTTTTTCCATACCATTCGCAACTTTAAATCATTTAGATATCACATTCCTATTCAGGAGTCTCCCTTTCTAAGCAAGAGAAACTATTTAACTTGTCCTCAAAGAGCAGATTTTCCTTACTCATAACTCAGCTGGGAAGATATAATGCAAGAGCCCACCTCTACTGGCCACTCTCAGAAGGAGCTGCATCAGCTGCACCTTTGATCACACTATGGCTGTACGTCCACTTGTACAGTCTCATGTTCATCCGAGTTGCATATCTCTGTACCTTCCTGGTTCATAAACCCTTTCAAGATGGGGTGACTGGGGTTGTGGGCAGTATTTGGGCAGTGATGTATCAAAGCAAGCTGTGTTGGCATCTCTAGACAGCTGCAACAGCCACAAGCCTATTAGTCATTAGTGATGCTGTAGTAGACTTCCTGACTGCTGATGAATATTGAGCTGATGTTTTACCATCAACTGGTTTAATACAGTGCCCCCTAGTAGTTAAATTTCTAGAGTCTTTCATTGCAATAGGAATACAGGGTTGCAAGAAAGGTTGACAAAAAGAACCACATATAAGTATTCCATTAAAAATACAGCAGCAGTGTTAATCAACTGAGTTGACTGCAGAGGAAAGGAAGAAATTTCAACTTGATATGACAGGTATCCCAGAGAAAATCCAATACTAGGTAAAAAATGCTTTCCAGCAAATCTGTTAAGGGATCTTTCTTTTTGCACACTTACGGATGTCCCGGTCACAGTGGGATCCCTACTCTAGGCACACCTTACAACCTGCTAATTAATGACTTCCCAGAAATGTGCCAGCCAGACACAAAGGATCCTGCTGAAAGGGATCTATAGTTACATTGACTCACAAACTGGGGATCACACATGAACATGGTGATGCAAAGAGCCAAACCAGACATATTCAATTCTGCAAAGGATTATCAGGAGTGTTATTTGCACCCCACAGGAGATAATTATTCTGCTCTATTTAGCAGCACTGAAGTCAGAGTTTGAATACTGTGCCTAATTTTAGACATCGTGGTTTAAGAAAGTCCAGGAAAAAAAGATAAATATGGTATTTACAAAATGTAAGTTTGTACATTGTAGGACTATTAGACTGCTCCTCAGATACAAGGATGGATTAGATAACCTAGTAAGGTCTATAACAGTACTACATTTCTATGATGTCTTTTATTGATTTTGATACTTTATGGCTTTAATTACTATGATTTCTAAAACACAATATAAAAAGAAACAGACACACCTGGAAATATCTGGAGATAATAAACTTTCACGCTTTGGTCCCCCAGGTCTTTGTCATTTCAGCATGTTTTAAAATTTATTAAAAGAGAGTTAAAAGAATAAAAAAAACCTACCCACACGCATACACAAATCACCAACAGAGAAGTACATACGATTTCCTTCCAATCAGTTGCGTGCTTCTGCCAATTCTAATGTTGCAAACTAACAGTAGAAAATTCTTATTAGGCTGCTTAGTGGTTATTGTAAAATTGTCCTTGAAGCTAAACATATGAATAAAACATATTTTACAATTAAGAGTGATTTCATGCCACTTTCATATAACAATGTGCAATGTTGATTTCTACTGTTATTTCTGAAAATAGTGGTTCCTGTTTGAACCAAAATTATACTTACAATTAAATCTTCTTACTCATGATTAAGTACACTGTACTAATCATATATTTATGATTATTGTCTTCTTACACAACAATAGCAAACCACTAGTCTTTGCAAACACTGCTCATTTATTTGCAGATGTGTTGGCAGCAGCACACAGAGCTCTCTACAGTAAAGTTTTGTTACCAGCTTGATCTCGGTGCAGCATTATCAGTGCTACTGCTAATTTAGTCGACCTATAAATGACCTCTACTGCTTTTATGGCTATGTCAGGTAGGATTGGCCCCAGCGGAAACAGAGGTGGTAGCTCCACCACCCTGCCTGGTTGGCTTCAGCTCCCCCACTGCAAAACCGCACTAATACAGAACCTGAGCCCAGCTGCCAGCAGGACAATTTGGGGGTTACCCAAATGGTGTTGCTGGTGCTGGCCGCCGTGCTGCTCAGACAGATCCCTTTTCAAATATTTCTACTTGAGTCAATTTAATTAGATTAGCATTAGAAATCCTGACATTTTAACAAACAGACAGGAATATTAGAAAATATAATGCATGAGTTTTTGAGGTTTTTTTTTAAATAAAGAATTACCAATAAACCAAAATCCATTAAACCCAAACAAATATGACTTATTTATTTTACATTTTTAGCTGGAGCAAGAAGTCCAAGCAGCAATTTATATTAAACCAAAATTTTTAAAGTGACATATCTAAAAAAATTGACATTAGAAATGCCATGATATATTATCTTTTTAAAGAAATGTCTTTATCCTGAGTTTACCAGTTTCATTTTGCTTCTCAGATTACACAAGCTTTTGCACTAAGAAATTTAATACTTCAGACTTTACCTCTTAGCATTTACTGGGGACAAACTCAGAATCCTGGCCATGGGGTCAGAGGACATGGCAGTACTACCAGGAAAAACAAATAAAGCAAGCCCTCAAAACAGCCAAGGTCTGACAAAGCAGGTGACCAGAATTAGCATCAGGAGTCTGTCCTCACTGTCTAATGTCCCTGCATGGTTTTCTCACTGGAACTTCCACTCTTCCTTAGAAGAGACAAATTGGTTGTGAAGAAAAGGAAAGCCAAGACACATTGTCCCCCAGCAACCTCTGCAGTAGTTTAAAACTTAACCTCTGCCTCAGCTCTTGACACAGACAGGCTTTCTGATGTGTAGAGAAAGCCTCGACAACCCTGCCTTGCTCCTGGTGTCCTCAGCTTTCTCTTTGGAGCATTGAGCAGGCACTGCTCCAGTCTTTTTGTTGTCTATGCTGAAATATTTACACAGAGATAATGTGGGAGACCAGGACATGGATACAGAATCACAGAATCATCATCTCAGTTGGAAAAGCCCTTGAAGATCCTCCAATCCAACCATGACCCTCACACTGACCATTCCCAACTCCACCAGATCCCTCAGCGCTGGGTCAACATGACTCTTCAACCCCTCCAGGGATGGGGACTCCCCCCCTGCCCTGGGCAGCCTACTCCAACGCCCAACAGCCCCTTCTGGAAAGAAATGCTTCCTAAGAGCCAGTCTGACCCTGCCCTAGTGCAGTTTGAGGCCATTCCCTCGTCCTATCACTTGCACAGAATCATCTAAAATGGTACAAAATGGTTTACTCTGAATATGCAAACATGTCCATGTTTCTTCCCAGATACTTTTTGGATGCTGGTTGACAGCGTGTTGTGTTTGTGTGTGGTGGGGTTTTAGTAGCATAGGAGGGCCTACAGGGGGGGGAGTGTGTCCTGTGAGAAGCTATTCAAAGCTCCCCCAGTTCCAAGTTGGACCTGCCACTGGCCCAGGCTGAGCCAATTAGTTATGGTACCTGCACCTCTGTGATAAGATATTTAA